CGTTGGGAGGCTGAAGCAAGTGGATTACCTAAGGTCAGGAGTTTGAGACCAGCTTGACCAATATGGTGAAACCCCGTCTCTACTAAAAATACAAAAATTAGTTGGGCGTGGTGGCGCGTGCCTGTAGTCCCAGCTACTCGGGAGGCTGAGACAGGAAAATTGCTTGAACCTGGAAGGCAGAGGTTGCAGTGAGCTGAGATTGCACCACTGCACTCCAGCCTGAGTGACAGAGTGAGACTCCATCTCAAAAACAAAAAGAAAAAAAAATTGCCACCCTTAGCACAAAGCATTGTGCATAAGAATCATGTGGAGAATTTGTCAAGCTATGGACTGCAAAACCCTGCCCCTAGACTTTCTAATTCAGTAGGTATTGGGAGAGACCTTCAATTAGCATTTCTAATCCACAGGTCATGGTGAGCTGCTGGTGTAGAAACCAGATTTTGAGAGCCAATGGGCCTAAGTGGTGTGTGTTAATATACCAAGGGAGGTGAGAGACATTGGTGGGAATTATGTTGGAGGAAGAAAGCAACAGGACAAACCTAGGATCCATGTGTGGTGACTTCCACCAAAAAGATAAACTAGAAAAATTACTGAACCCACAGGGAGACTATGAACAAACTATGCCTTTGTTCTGAGTGGTGGAAGTAAAAACTAAATTACCAATTAATAAATAGAATATTCTTGTTCTTATAATATATATACTGAAGTACTTAGAGTGAAAGGTTATAAAGTTTGCAACTTTAAAATGATTAAGTAAAAAAAAAAAAAAATACATGCTATGAAGGATTGGAAAAAAAAAAAGAAAAATTAAAACAAATGTGGTTTGGGAGGCTGAGGCAGGCTGATCATTTGAGGTTAGGAGTTTGAGACCAGTCTAGCCAACATGGTGAAACCCCATCTCTACTAAAAATACAAAAATTAGCCAGGCTTAGTGGTGCATGCCTGTAATCCCAGCTACTCGGGAGGCTGAGGGAGGAGAACTGCTTGAACCTGGAAGGCGGAGGTTGCAGTGAGCCAAGATGGCATCATGGGCGACAGAGCGAGACTCCAGTTGAAAAAAAAAAAAAAAAGACAAATGTGCTAAAATGTTAATAGTTGGTGAATCTAGGTGAAAGGTAACTTAATGGTCATTTTACTATTTTTCTAAAGCTTTTCTATAGATTAACAAAATCACACATATAAAAGTAATGACCAAATAGTATTTCTAAAAATAAAAAAATATGAAAATCTAAATTAGACACACAACAGGTGTGTTTAAAAGCAGATTAGACACAGCTGAAGAAAGAATTAGTGCACTGGAAGATATGAAGAAATTATCCACAAAGTAACAGTATCTCATAGTGGTCAAGACGAATTGGGTAAAGTGTCAACAGTCTAACTACCTCTGATTAAAAGACCAATGTGACAAATGGAAAATACATTTTGTTTCTTTTCTTTCTTTTTTTTTTTGGTAGAGTCTCACTCTGTTGCTCAGGCTGGAGTACAGTGCCAAAATCTCACTCAGTGCACCTCTGCCTCCTGGGTTCAAATGAATCTCTTAGCCTCTCAAGTAGCTGGGATTACAGATGTGACTCACCATGCCCAGCTAATTTTTAAAAATATATTTAGGAGAGATGGGGTTTTGGCATGTTGGCCAGGCTGGTCTCAAACTCCTGGCCTCTGCTTGCCTCAGCCTCCCAACTGCTAGGATTACAGGTGTGAGCCACTGTGTCTAAGCTGGAAAATACATTTTCAATTTTCAAGCACATGGAACTTTTATTAAAACCGAGTAGTAAGGGCCGGGCAGATCACTTAAGGTTAGGGGTTCGAGACCAGCCTGATCAACATGGAAAACCCCGTCTCTACTAAAAATACAAAAAAAAAATTAGCCGGGTGTGGTGGCACATCCTGTAAGCCCAGCTACTCAGGCGGCTGAGGTAGGAGAATCACTTGAACCCAGGAGGCGGAGGTTGCGGTGAGTGGAGATCACTCCACTGCACTGTAGCCCGTGTAACAAGAGCAAAAGTTTGTCTCAAAAACAAAAACAAAAACTGAGTAGTCATGTGCCAGATAACAGTATTTCACTCAACAACTGGCTACATTTACAATGGAGGTTCACATAAGATTATCACAGCGCTGAAAAATTCTTACAGCCTATTATTTACTATACTATACTTTTAATTGTTATTTTAGAATGTATTCCTTTTACTTTTTTTTTTTTTTTAAAGCAGGCTATAAAATAGCCCCAGCTAAGTCCTTCAGGTGGTATTCCAGAAAAATGCAAAAGAGACAACAGCTCCAACCATGTTACGGCTTCTGAAGATTGTCTTTTGGGAAAAGATGTAAAGGTGCAAGACAGTGAGTGATATTGATGATCCTGACCCTGTGTAGGCCTAGGACATGTATGTGTCTTTGTTTTCAGTAAAAAAGTTTAAATAGCAAAATATAAGGTAAAAAATGAACATAAATACAAAATAATGTCTAACGTGGTTAAAAAAATACAATAATAACAAACAGGCTAAGAGTAAATGAAGTTAAAGCATTCAATGGACCTGTATTCCAAAACAATTAGTTACTAACTATAGATCTAAGCCAGGAACGGTGGCTCACGCCTATAATCCCATCACTTTGGGAGCCCGAGGCAGGTCAGGAGTTCAAGAGCAGCCTGCCCAACACGGTGAAACCCTGTTTCTACTAAAAATACAAAAAATTAGCTGGGCGTGGTGGTGCACACCTGTAATCCTAGCTACTTAGGAGCCTGAGGTACAAGAATCACTTGAGCCTGGACTGCTGAGGTTTCAGTGAGCTGAGATCACACCACTGCGCTCCAGCCTAGGTGACAAAGCAAGACTGTCTCTAAAATAGTAATAGTAATTATTATTTTGTTAAACTGTATTCTGCATACATTTTTACACATTATATTCCACAATAAAAAATAAAAAATTAATGTGGTTCATTACAGTAACAAATTAAAGGAAATTATGTATATGATTATCTCAGTAGATATAGAATAAGCATTCAATAAAATCCAATACCCATTCATGATAAAACCTCATAGCAGGGAACATAAGGGAACTTAACCTTATAAAGGGTATCTTAAAACACACACACACACACACACACACACACACACACACACACAGAGAGACAGACAGAGAGAGAGAGAGAGAGAGACAGAGAGAGAGAGAGTTGTGTGTGCTCTACTCAGGAATAAGGCAAACAGTACTTCTATATAATGTTATACAAGAGATCCTAGTACCACAAATAAGAAAAAAGGTGGTGGCCAAGTGTGGTGGTTCATGCCTCTAATCCCAGCACTTTGGAAGGCAGAGGAGGGAAG